AAAATTTTACGAATATATCACATATAATTTAATAGCCAATTGATAGAAATGTCGTGTCTAGTCAAGTCTTTAGAGGTGTCAGACGGACGGGCCTGTCAGACCCGTGAAAATCGGTCCGGATCGACCTGGGACCGTGGCCGACCCGTGACCCGTGCGGGCGGTTCACGGGTCAGGTCACACCTTCACGGGCCGCGGTTAACCCACTGGCCCGAGGAAAAAATGAGGAAAAAAATATTTTAAAAATTTAGATATTTAGATATTTTACGATGGTGGATATTAGATATTTTACGAAGAAGATAATTTAGATGAGCGAACATACCCTATATTATCTAAAATGACACGAGATATACTAATAGTTCTAATCTCAACGGTGGCATCCGAGTCTGCTTTTAGTGCAGGTAACAGGGTATTGGACGAAAGAAGATCTAGACTTAAAGAAAATATTTTGGAAGCTCTCAAATGCGTGAAAGATTGGATATTCGCGAATCGAAGGATGCAAGATAAAATTATTGATGATATTGCTGAAGACTTCAAAAATCTTGCAGTTCCTGAAGATTGATTGGAAAACAAATATTAAAATATATAATTTTTGAACAACTAAATTATAGTTAAGACNCTATGGTAACTCCCGCTTGCAACAAAGTCAATTCCACCTTGCGGGGAATCGAACTCTGCACACTACCGCGCTGAGCCAAAACCGCCCTCCCCTTTGCCACTGGGAGATATGCCCTGGGGGCACTAAAAATTTGATTATAATTTTCACAAAACATGGACATAGTTTTAGTTTTAGTTTTAGTTTTCTGTTTTCATATACAAACTTTGTTTGGTTGGCTTTATTTGTTGGTGTTTGATGAAAACTTGGTTTCCTGTTTGACAAAGGTTAAAATTCTGATTTTAATCTAAATTAAAGTAACAATTAATTTTAATCATATATTTTATGTGATTTACAATTTCTTAATCACATATTTCATCATTTTTTATCAAAATATTTAATTTTAATCTCTATTGAATATTGGCTTGATATTGAGTTCTCCTTTTTGCTTTAATTTGTTGGTACTGGTTGAAGACTTGATGTATCCATTGGGGTTGGTTGAAAGGGGTTGGTCGAAAGGTAAGTAGCGGTTTGTCTACCATTATTTCAATTTTTTTTCAAACTTATTTTCAATCATACATTTTCACAATATATTTTACACATAAACCCAAAATATTTTTCTACTTTTTAATCACACATTCTTCAAAAATTTGCTATTTCAAAACTCATTTGCATTAAATAATGTTAGATAAATAGGGGCTAAATATTGATGTGATCGTGTCGGGTGGGAGTAACTTACCCTATTTGATTTGGGCATGAGATGAAAATTTGTGTAGAAAAAGAGAAGCCACCCTTTAGAAAATATTAGTCGATTTTGTGACTCGAAGCCCCTAATTACACAATGCCTTCGGATAAATTGTAATCACTTAAATAAGTGGAATGACTCGATGAAATACTATTATTTTCTTGAGAACTCGATGTCAATGTTTTTGATTACAAGTTTGTGAATTACACCATTTGTACATTCATTTCTTCCACCCTTGTTGACACACGCGGTATTGTCAAAAAATTATTAGCTACAATTTTTTTATTTAAATTGTTTAATGAGAAAATGTCATGCAACATTGTGTCAATTGAGGGGTGAAAGGTGATGTACACCAAGCTTGACTGTATTAAGCCCCTGTTTGTCTCCCATTATTGGGAGAAAATTATTGTAATGAATAGTATTTTTTGGAGAATGTGTGGTTGAAAATTAAAGTAATTTTATTGGTTTGTGTGTAGAATATTTTATTGGGTGAATGTGTGGTAGAGAATCTTACTGTAGCAAACAATGTTTTGGAATAATGGGAGATAAATGGGGCCTTTATTTATATTGTAAATAATTTAACACTAATTACATTTAAATTCAATTAATAATTCATATTAGGACTCAATTTTCACTGGGTCACGTGTATAGCTATATAAGTACTTTCCATTGTCTTTATTTTTCCACCATTACAATTTTAAAGAAAACCCAATTAGATATACACATAATTAATAATAAAAATTATATTATATTTATCCTAATCCAATTAGCCTTATCACAATCAGTTATTCAAATTGAAAACTATTATTTCATGGTTAGCTTTTGGGGATAGACTTCAATTCCAATTTGAAATAGTTGTTTAAATCCAAGGACTCATCATAATTTACTATAAATATGACACAAAATCACAATGATGAATTAAAACTTTTCCTCACGATAGTTCATCCATCCCTTACTCTCTCTGCCTCTCTATTTCACATACAAACACAAAAAAAATAATATTAGGTTTTGCAAAGAAAAGTGGCTCGTATATTCAATCTTCGGATTTACATTAAAGAATCTCGTTTCCGGCAATTTTATTCTCCAAATTCATTTTCAAGAGGTGAGGTGCTCAATGCTATTAGTGGTTTTTCCACATCTTTTCAAATACGTTGTCATGTATGAATTTATTACTTCAGTTCAAAGCTCCTTTGAGAGAAATCATAACACAGTTTAAGGCATACCTTCGGGTATCAGTTAGCATTCACGTTACTTTGCTGCGCTTGCTAGAATTATCATTTTTTATTGTGTGATAATTCTCAAATTATATTAGTAAAAGAGATTACGCATAATTTCCTATTTGATTTGAATGTGGAGTAGCAAGCATCTCATTGCAATTCATTATACGCATCCTTCTTTATTTACAATTTTAGGGGAAAATTAACATGTTGGACGGCTGTCCATGGATGGATATGCCACTGGACCAACGGATCCTTGTCATGAAATACTTTAATTTTCAAATATTGAGATTTTTGAAAGCATTTGATTTTTTTTTTTTTCTAGTATTAGACTCGATCGATCGTAACATTATGATTTTAATGTCCAATTTGAATTGCATGATACATGCCCAAAACATTCAACGTATTTTAATAAATTAAACTTATCTTTTATTAAAGTCATCGATTTTTATTGAATATGCTCATTTTATTGAAATTAATTTTTAAGCACGTTAAGAAATTCATGTTTGGTAACGCGTCGAGTTATTAGAATTCGGGGCGTTACACAAGCTAACTTAGAGATTATCATTAAAGCTTCGGACTTGTTCCTTCCACAACTCCACATAAAGATATTCAGCTATAACATTGACAAGGTCTGTGATGTTTCTTAATTATAATTCCATCTCCGCACCCAAAAAGGGTTGAGTTTCTAAAGAGCACGCCTTGCTTGCAAGTCATTTCTTAATGTAAGAAAAAGCTGCCAGTAGCGAAGGCAATTACAATAACTCAAGCACTACAAGAATACTTGAGAGAAAAAGTTCATTCTCTTGTCTAAGTATATTACTCTCTTAATTTCCTATTGAATTCTTTGTATTACAATTTTCAAATACAAATCTAAGATCCCTAATTGTACATGTAGTAGGAGGACACTATTTCAATGTGCATGACAATTTCCATCTAAGTAATCTATACATATTCTAATAGATTCTTATATGTAAATTCTATATTTAATACATGAATTCTCTTCAACAAGAATACACGAATTCTTCCATTCATCTAATACATTTAGCGTATATTCATGAATAGTATTAATATAAGAGATTCATGGTTTTAATTTCACGATTCATTAGGCAACTATTGTGAAATAGCGACTCTTCTAAAATTCATGTTCACAAGTCCATATTAACTTCTAACATCTCCCTTAAAGTGTAGAAATGACAAGCTTCTCTTTTGATATTATAATCCATACAATCTTCAAAGCCTCTGTAAAAATGTTTGATAGTAATCTTGACATATGTTGGGCCTAACAAAAACTTTTCTTTCGAAAACCAAATCCTTAGAATAATGATATTTAATTTTTACATGCTTCTTCCATTAAAAACATAATTTTTAGCGAAAATAATCATAGAATTATACGAAACAGTACATTTGCATCGAGGACACTTCCAATCTTTTAACAGCCCTGCATACATGAATTTTTAGGGAGAAAAGTCGTAGAATTATGCAAAACAGTACATTTGCCTTAAGGACACTTCAAATCCTTTAACAGCCTTGCATACACTTTTATTGTACCCATTTCCTTCTATTTAATTCTACACGGATTCTATTTCTAATACATGAACTCCACTTCTTAAAATTATAAATGAAATCTTGCATTCTAAATCTAATACATTTTGTGTATCCATGATTGTATTAATACAAAAGACTCAAAATTCTTTCTTCAAGATTCAATGTACGAGTGGTCCAGCCACAAACCACTATGCCTACACAGAAAAAGCCCGAGCTGATTGGGGGTGGTCAGGTCTGGTCCTTGGTATTAGGCCTAGGGGTTACACTAACTTTTTTAAGAGAGTGGAATAGTTTGAAAGTGAGGCAAAAATTACTTTTTCTGCTTCATTCCAATGTAAAATTAAATTCTGCCACAATTTAGGGCTAAAATCAAGGCCTTTACATTGCAGAATTAGTTCTGCATTTAATTTCTGGGTTCATGCCTTGATTTGAGGCAGAATTTAATTCTTCCTTGAACCAAGGCAAAAGGGGACTATTATGAAGACAGGTTATGCCTTGATATTTGAATCAATGAATAATCTACCTTGGTTTAAAGTAAATGGGTGAATCATTACAGTTTTTTTTTTAATTATTATTAATACAATTTTACGAAAACATTTGAGATACGGTTTCATCTCAAATAGCACAGGACTGGTACCAGTAACTGGATGGTTCTGTAAAGATTCATGTTTAAAAAGTCTAGATTAATTTCTAATAAATCTACCATGAACCATGAGTTCAGAGAAAAAACTATTTTTCAGCACTTCAATGCAAAGTCTCACAAACCAAAAGAGTCAACTGGAGTTGTCACCGTGGCAGCAATCAAGCTAAACTTTACACACAATTTCTAATCTTCACACTGAAAGCAGTTCTAAAAGTTCAAGTTAAAAATAGACAACAAACTCAGAGTCTTACTGACCTCATGATCATCAAAAGCAGCATTGACATCATCCAAATCAACTTCTTCACTTTCAGCAAGTTTTACAGGAACATAGCCCCTTTTAAACCACTCATCATTTCTGATCTCTTCTATACGAATGCGCTACACAAAATTACCACCAATGGGCAGGAGAGTTAAAAAAAAGAGTGTATCATCATGGTTACTCATTAAACAAACTTGAATATCTTAACAGTCGTTAATTTAAATTAAAAAATTCAATTACTTGTAAGAGAAGCTAAGCTCAGCTGTATTAATACTATGAACACATGGCACATTACTGTGTATGAGTCCAATATCAATCAGATTTCCTTTTTTAAGTAATAACCTCTGCTTTTCTATACAAACATGGCACGTTACTGATTATGAGTCTAATAACAACCAGATTCCTTCTTTAAGTAAAAAACTCTTCTTTTCTGTTAATTAATTTTAGTCTGACAAGGGATATTCAGCTTTCTAGAACTACAATACTTGATGATATGACTGTATCAGGTACATTTTAAACATTCTAACGAAGTGGCACCTTGATAGAGCTGCCATAACAGAAATTACAACACGAATAATATGAACGCTTGTCATGTTTATTCACGACACACCACATTATTAAGAGAGAGAATAACATCTTACAACAATCTGAGTAAACCAATGGACCACCAGGATGTATGCTTACTGATGCATTATATTAATAGATGTACCAAAGCAAATATAAACATATTCCTTGTCACACAATAAATATTTACCGTTTCAGGATTTGGATCTAATATTCGATGAATCAAGGATTTTGCTCCAACTGGAAACCAGGACGGGCAAGAAAACTCTGATTTCTCTATCTGCAGAAAGCATGTCAAAAGTTCCAATGAGAAAAAAATAATTATTCCATTAGACTGACACGAAACATACGTACTACACCCATTGAGAATATAAAGAGACCATTATCGACGTTCAATTGCTCCCAGTCCGAGGGGATTTTGGTAAATAATGTAAACCCCAACTAAAGCCACCTATAAATATTTGGTAAGTGTCTGTATATAATTACGGTTGAATACCTTGCCATACAACGTTGTTAGATCAACTTCATCAAATGGTAGATAACCAGCCATAAGAACATAAAGAATGACACCGCATGACCAGATATCAGCCAAAGCACCATTGTAGCCCTTATGACTAAGTACCTACAGCCACAAATAAATTAAAAACAAGAAAATTTGTGATAATGTTGCCTTTATACTTTATAGTTACAGATTTAGAGGTCACAAAGAAAGTTCTCTGTAAGTTACCTCTGGCGCAACATAATTAGGAGTACCACAAGTTGTTCGGAGAAGGTTAACTCCCTATGCACCAACATTGCGGTTAGCGCCATTGAATAACATCTCTACTAAAATTTCCAAATGATAATTAATGAATGTCTTACTTCTGCAGGAAATGCGCTAAGTCCAAAGTCAGATATTTTAAGATTTCCTTGTGAATCTAGTAGAAGATTTTCAGGCTGCAACAAAGAAAACGACAGTAAGAATTTTATTTGATATAACAACAATAATAATTAGAATTCTTTTGTTTCCAAGGGACACCTTTAAATCTCTATGATAGACTCCCTTACTGTGGCAATAATCTACACCGTCAATGAGCTGTTGGAAGTATCTTTGAGATTCAGATTCACTGAGTCGCCCGTGGTGAACCTGCATGATATGTATATGTATCATACACTAACTGTAACTAGCCCTATAAATATAACAGAACACAATGGTTTTAAACTTCCATTAATACATTGTACTAGAAGTTGAAAGGACTCACTATTTTATCAAACAACTCGCCACCTGTGATAAATTCCAAGATAATGTAGATCTTCGTCCGGCTTGCTATGACCTAAAAGTACAAAAAAATGAGTTAGTTGGCATATAAGGCACCTATAAATCAGCCTAAGAAAACAGTTAGAGTTTTTATTAATTATTTTTTGCGTGGCCCATGCCTCATGTAGACGAACAATATATGGATGTCTGACACGCTTCATTATAGATATCTCCCTCTTAATCTGCATCAAGAAATGCAAAGACCAGATAGTGAAGTAAACAAATTTGTAGTATATTCACAATTGCAATTCTTTTTGAGCTCACAACCATACACTAACATTGAGAGTAAAATGCGGTCTATATAAACCTTTTGAATTGCAATGTTTTAGAGAATTTCCAAGGCAATAGGAGCTTTTCTGCCCAGAATCAGTACAAGAATTGGATGAGAATCTCATCAATTCTATCAAGTTACAAATTATAGGTGCTTGGATATTTCACTATAATCTTGTGTTTTCAGTCAAAGCTGTAATAGGTCAGAAGTTCAAAACAAAAGGCTCTTAATTTCAAGGTCAAACAAGCACAGCATAATTTAAACCAAAAAAAAGCATAATTTTGCCAATTGAGAACTAAACTCATTAATAAAAATATTTAAAAATTGTACAAATAAATACACAATTTGCTCTTTATTTAGCTCAAATCAACTGAACCCTTATCCGTGCCATCTGCATCAAATTATTTTCCATTAAAATCGGAGAATGCTGAAAAAAATACAGAATTTGTTCTTTTTTAGCTCAAATCAACAAAACCCTTATTCAAACCATATATATCAAATTATTTTCCATTAAAATCTCCAATGCCTAAAAATAGAAATAAAAAATCCAAAAAGGAAATTCCAACCCAATAATTAATTCAATTTCCATAACTCAGAATTCTTGAATCCAAAGGCCCATAATTATGGTTGAATAGATATAATACACCGAAAACAAAAGAAACTAACCTGTTCGACCATCTTGTGCTTGATGATGGTGGAGCGATCGAGGACTTTCATGGCGACGCTCTCTCCAGTCTCCGTATTCTGCGCGAACTTCACTTTCGCAAATGTCCCTTCTCCAATTGTCCTCCCCACCTCATATTTCCCCACCTTCCTTACAACCATTTTTCACCCTCTTCTTCTTCAACAACTATCGTCTAACCATAATTTGATCATAAAAGCATCATTTCATCAGGCTTCATATACAAGCTTTATGACTGATTTTACATCCAAAATTGCAATATTTAATCAATTCTTTTTGCGGTAAGGGATAAGAATTTGAATTTCAGCACAAGAAATGATTTGCTTGTGGAATAATTATAAAATGTAGTAAAACGGGGGAGCTGAAGTGGGTTTGAGAGAGGATTAGTATGGGCCAATTAGAGAGAGGATTAGTGGACGAATGATAGAAGTAGGAAAGTTGAATTTTAAATGAAAAGTTACTTATTTTGGGGTGTGTCTGACTGCGATTTATTTCCAATGCTAATCAATTAATGGACCGTTGGTACCTCGAAGATGGGTCCCAGTTTGCAGAAACATTTGACTTCCTCGCAGTAAAATGCCGAAAATGTAACAAGTTTATTGAATCGTTTTCGCATAGGGAAGTCAAAGGCAATGACCATTCATATGGAAGCTTGTTTGAAGTTAACTAAAGATGAAAGATAATGACCGGAAGATGCAACACCTTTTTGATAGCTTGTTGGTAGTTTATTCTATTCAACTATCACAAGACCTCAGATTGCATATTTTATGGGAGTAATTTTTAGTTTATGGGCAAACCATGTGAGCGTAATTTAATTACAGCAAAGATGATTCTTCGCTACATGAAAGACACCCCTAAATTATGGGTTATTGTATAATAAGAATATACCTTTTGACTGGTTTTGTAGATGTAGATTAGGCTGGTGACGATAATGATAGGCGCTCCACAACTAATTACTGTTTTAATAAGAGTTCAGCAGCAATTTCAGGCTGCAGTAAAAAGAAACTTTTTTTTATACACAGGTGTCCACCTTCGACGACTAATCATGGGGTCTCCGCTTTGGCCCCTTAAGACGGCAGTAAAAAGAAACTTTCGTTGCCCTTTCTAGTTGTGAAGTTGAATATGTAGCAACTACTAGGCCACTCAAGAGTGTAAGAGGCTTATTCAAGAAATGTTTTTTTTGCATTGGACTATCAGTTCCCATTCAATGTGACAATGAAAGTGCAATTAAGCTAGTTGAAAATCAAGTATCTCATGCCTGCTCAAAACAAATTGAGACACATTATCATTTTGTTTGAAAAAAGGTTTTAAAACTAAAGACCAAGTTGCCGATATATTTACCAAAGCACTTGCCAAAGCAAAGTTTAAAGCATTTCGATGTGCTCTTGGTATTGTTGACAGTTAGTTTGCAACTGAAATATTGCAAATTAGTGAAACTTACCAATGATTTAGTCTTTTGACTAAGTCTAGTTTGTTGTAAGTTACATATATTTAGGAACTTATTTAGGAGTTAGTGTTCTGTTTCAGCAAATAAAATCAGAGATGTGTGAGTGTTTTGGTTGAGACATTTCTGAAAAATTTCTCGATTTATAATCTTGTAGTTGAGTGTCAATTCAGTTCTTCATCAAGTAATAAAATTAGGTCTTTGTTTTCGGGCGGGTCAGTCGGGGTATTTCAAGTCAACTTACAAAAATACTCATAAAATTAAGGGTCTTTTGAAAAATCATATGAAACATATTTTGAAAGTAAAAAATACTTTGTAAAATCAATTGTCATTTTTTAACAGAAAAAGTGGCACAGTATAAAAAAAGTGATACACTGTCACTTTTTAAAGTTAAGAGTTACTTTTTTATTAAAAAATGACATACAATGTCACTTTTATTAAAAATTGATATTTGTCACTAAAAAATGTGAGAGAAATAGACTGAAAATGTGATAAACACTAAAAAAAGTGACAAAATAAAAAAATGAAAAATTCAAAAAAGTGGCACAAATTAAAAGAGGTTATACAAATTAAATAGTGACAAACACTCAAAAAGTGATTAAAAAAAGTGACAAACTATAAAAAATAAGTTTGTCAACCCTTTTTTTGTCACTAAAAAAGTGACAAACACTCAAAAAGTGACAAAATTCAAAAAAAAAGTGACAAACTCAAAAAAAAAAGTTTGTCACTTATTTTTGTCACTAAAAAATTGACAGAATTTTCAAAAAAAAAGTAACGGACAATAAAAGAAAAGGTGATAGAAAAAACTGACAAACACTAAAAAAGTGACAAACGTTTTTTTGTCACTAAAAAAGTGACAGAATTNAAACAAACACAAAAAAATAAGTTTGTCACTTTTTTTTGTCACAAAAAAATTGACAGAATTTTCAAAAAAAAAAAGCAACGAACAATAAAAGAAAAGGTGATAGAAAAAACTGACAAACACTAAAAAAGTGACAAACGTTTTTTTGTCACTAAAAAAGTGACAGAATTTTTTTTTAAAAAAAAAAGTAACGAACAATAAGTTAGGAAGGGTGAAATCAAGAATTAGAAAGGTATTTTCCTAATTAAACTGTTTAGTATTTCTCATTTCAAAAAGGTAATAATTAATTAATTCTGTGGTATTTGGTGGTGGCGTGTGAGCGCATTTTGATGGATCAATTTTTACTCTAATAAAACCCATCTGTACTGAATGCGATGAATCCAAAATTCATCAATCTTACGAACCACCATTTTCTGTTTCCTACGGCGGTGCGTGTATTCCACGAGACTAAAATATGGGCCAAGTACCCTCCACTGGCCAGGGTTATTCTCTTGGTAGTTCAACGCATCTACGTAATCCAAGCCTTGCCCCTCACCACCATCGCCACACTGTAAATGTTTTGAACCTAACTTCACAATTTCTCGAGGATATTTTTGTGAATCAACAACAAGATTATACTTCTAAGATTCCTGACGAATGTTTAGCTTTGATATTTCAATCTTTAAGCTCTCGCAACAGAACCAGTGTTCTTTGGTATGTCGACGGTGGCTCATGGTGGAGGGCTAAAGCCAGCACTGCCTAGCCCTTAACGCGACCGAGGAGGTCAACTAGCACATCCCTACTATCTTCATGAGGTTTGATTCCGTCACGAAGCTAGCTCTCCGCTGTGATCATAAATCCGTTAGCATAGATGATGAAGCTTAACTTGGATCTCTAGGCGGTGCCAGAATCTCACCCGCCTCAAGCTCCGTGGCTGTCGCGAATTCTCAAATGAAGGAATGTATGCTTTGGGAAAGAATTTTTTTAGGGCAGTCGGCCTAATTTTTCCTCTAAAATTTTGGGGCAACGATTTGGGGAAGGATACGATTTAGAGAAGGGAAGAAATGCGGTTTGGGCTTTGGTTTTAACAATTGGACGTATTTAATACTTCATTAAAATGTTT